AGAAGAGCAAAAGATGTTCCCACACCGGGACTCGAACCCGGGTCTGCTGGGTGAGAGCCAGCTATCCTAACCGCCTAGACTATATGGGAAGGCTGAACACCATCGCCACCAACAAACACACAATCAAGACCAACAACAAACAAACACAAACACAAACACCAAACGCACCACCTACGCACGCTGCCACACGCAACGCGAGCGCGTTCATCCTATCGCCACCATTGAACGACCGACCATTTCGACACGTACTGCCCACATCCGATCCAGCCACCGACGGGGTCGCCTCCTTCGCATCGCACGCAGCTCCGAGCGTCGCGTTCGTCTGCTCGCACCGCAGCTCGCCTGGTCGACCAGCTCTCTCGCGGCTTCATTGAGCTGCTCGCTCGCACGCGTTTCCGCACGGTGGCCAGCGCCGACAAGTAGGCCTGCACGCGCCGACCAATGGCCGGACAGACTCGAGTACCTCCTGGTCGTGCGAGCATGGTTGGATCCGTGGATGGGATGTAGCAGCGGGTCAGCACGGCACCGAGACTGTGACGAACGCCCAAAGCGGCGAAAAGAAGAGTGGAGAAGCAGCAAAGAAGAGCAAAAGATGTTCCCACACCGGGACTCGAACCCGGGTCTGCTGGGTGAGAGCCAGCTATCCTAACCGCCTAGACTATATGGGAAGGCTGAACACCATCGCCACCAACAAACACACAATCAAGACCAACAACAAACAAACACAAACACAAACACAAACACCAAACGCACCACCTACGCACGCTGCCACACGCAACGCGAGCGCGTTCATCCTATCGCCACCATTGATCGACCGACCATTTCGACACGTACTGCCCACATCCGATCCAGCCACCGACGGGGTCGCCTCCTTCGCATCGCACGCAGCTCCGAGCGTCGCGTTCGTCTGCTCGCACCGCAGCTCGCCTGGTCGACCAGCTCTCTCGCGGCTTCATTGAGCTGCTCGCACGCGTTTCCGCACGGTGGCCAGCGCCGACAAGTAGGCCTGCACGCGCCGACCAATGGCCGGACAGACTCGAGTACCTCCTGGTCGTGCGAGCATGGTTGGATCCGTGGATGGGATGTAGCAGCGGGTCAGCACGGCACCGAGACTGTGACGAACGCCCAAAGCGGCGAAAAGAAGAGTGGAGAAGCAGCAAAGAAGAGCAAAAGATGTTCCCACACCGGGACTCGAACCCGGGTCTGCTGGGTGAGAGCCAGCTATCCTAACCGCCTAGACTATATGGGAAGGCTGAACACCATCGCCACCAACAAACACACAATCAAGACCAACAACAAACAAACACAAACACAAACACAAACACCAAACGCACCACCTACGCACGCTGCCACACGCAACGCGAGCGCGTTCATCCTATCGCCACCATTGATCGACCGACCATTTCGACACGTACTGCCCACATCCGATCCAGCCACCGACGGGGTCGCCTCCTTCGCATCGCACGCAGCTCCGAGCGTCGCGTTCGTCTGCTCGCACCGCAGCTCGCCTGGTCGACCAGCTCTCTCGCGGCTTCATTGAGCTGCTCGCACGCGTTTCCGCACGGTCGCCAGCGCCGACAAGTAGGCCTGCACGCGCCGACCAATGGCCGGACAGACTCGAGTACCTCCTGGTCGTGCGAGCATGGTTGGATCCGTGGATGGGATGTAGCAGCGGGTCAGCACGGCACCGAGACTGTGACGAACGCCCAAAGCGGCGAAAAGAAGAGTGGAGAAGCAGCAAAGAAGAGCAAAAGATGTTCCCACACCGGGACTCGAACCCGGGTCTGCTGGGTGAGAGCCAGCTATCCTAACCGCCTAGACTATATGGGAAGGCTGAACACCATCGCCACCAACAAACACACAATCAAGACCAACAACAAACAAACACAAACACAAACACAAACACCAAACGCACCACCTACGCACGCTGCCACACGCAACGCGAGCGCGTTCATCCTATCGCCACCATTGATCGACCGACCATTTCGACACGTACTGCCCACATCCGATCCAGCCACCGACGGGGTCGCCTCCTTCGCATCGCACGCAGCTCCGAGCGTCGCGTTCGTCTGCTCGCACCGCAGCTCGCCTGGTCGACCAGCTCTCTCGCGGCTTCATTGAGCTGCTCGCTCGCACGCGTTTCCGCACGGTGGCCAGCGCCGACAAGTAGGCCTGCACGCGCCGACCAATGGCCGGACAGACTCGAGTACCTCCTGGTCGTGCGAGCATGGTTGGATCCGTGGATGGGATGTAGCAGCGGGTCAGCACGGCACCGAGACTGTGACGAACGCCCAAAGCGGCGAAAAGAAGAGTGGAGAAGCAGCAAAGAAGAGCAAAAGATGTTCCCACACCGGGACTCGAACCCGGGTCTGCTGGGTGAGAGCCAGCTATCCTAACCGCCTAGACTATATGGGAAGGCTGAACACCATCGCCACCAACAAACACACAATCAAGACCAACAACAAACAAACACAAACACAAACACAAACACCAAACGCACCACCTACGCACGCTGCCACACGCAACGCGAGCGCGTTCATCCTATCGCCACCATTGATCGACCGACCATTTCGACACGTACTGCCCACATCCGATCCAGCCACCGACGGGGTCGCCTCCTTCGCATCGCACGCAGCTCCGAGCGTCGCGTTCGTCTCCTCGCACCGCAGCTCGCCTGGTCGACCAGCTCTCTCGCGGCTTCATTGAGCTGCTCGCTCGCACGCGTTTCCGCACGGTGGCCAGCGCCGACAAGTAGGCCTGCACGCGCCGACCAATGGCCGGACAGACTCGAGTACCTCCTGGTCGTGCGAGCATGGTTGGATCCGTGGATGGGATGTAGCAGCGGGTCAGCACGGCACCGAGACTGTGACGAACGCCCAAAGCGGCGAAAAGAAGAGTGGAGAAGCAGCAAAGAAGAGCAAAAGATGTTCCCACACCGGGACTCGAACCCGGGTCTGCTGGGTGAGAGCCAGCTATCCTAACCGCCTAGACTATATGGGAAGGCTGAACACCATCGCCACCAACAAACACACAATCAAGACCAACAACAAACAAACACAAACACAAACACAAACACCAAACGCACCACCTACGCACGCTGCCACACGCAACGCGAGCGCGCGTTCATCCTATCGCCACCATTGATCGACCGACCATTTCGACACGTACTGCCCACATCCGATCCAGCCACCGACGGGGTCGCCTCCTTCGCATCGCACGCAGCTCCGAGCGTCGCGTTCGTCTCCTCGCACCGCAGCTCGCCTGGTCGACCAGCTCTCTCGCGGCTTCATTGAGCTGCTCGCTCGCACGCGTTTCCGAACGGTGGCCAGCGCCGACAAGTAGGCCTGCACGCGCCGACCAATGGCCGGACAGACTCGAGTACCTCCTGGTCGTGCGAGCATGGTTGGATCCGTGGATGGGATGTAGCAGCGGGTCAGCACGGCACCGAGACTGTGACGAACGCCCAAAGCGG